CAAACCTACTGCTAGCGTAAATAAAGAAACTAGAAAGATCAATGATACTTTTAAGGTTTTCTTATTTGAATTTTCGGATAAATCTTAATTCTGAATTTAATGAATGCATAAGCCCATAGTTAGTTTTACGACAATAGAATATCTATAGAAATTCTCCTACGTAATCGTTAAATATTTCAGCTTATCAACTTTAACAAAATATTGCAATGGTAATCATAAATATGAACGCAGTTCGTTATTTTAGGAAGAGGGTACAAATGAAAATATTTGAAATTGACATTTTTCTTTTGCTTTCTATTTTTCCACACGTTCCAACCTCCATTAAGGTATTGGCAGCAGACGTTAAAAACTTACGTCTTTCCTTTTTTTTCATCTATATTTGACACATATCAAACATTAATATCTTCCTTATTATTATCTATATTTGACGCTTACATCAAACACTTATATCTTTATTGTTATCTATATTTCAAACTTATATCAAACACATATATCTTTCCTTATTTCTATATAAATTTGACACTTATATCAAACACATATCATTCCTTATTTCTATCTATATTTGACACTTACATCAAATACATAGGTTTATGACATTCATGATATCTTATTGCATTTACCTTGATATGGTGAAAAAACTTATATCCAAGAATAAATTAAGTTTGAGTGTATGCATATGTATGTCGCATGTTGGTGGGTGCGTTCATTCTAATGCTTTCGTCGTTAGTTTGAGGATATAATGCGAGAAGTGAGCAATATTAATCTTCGGGAACACGAAAAGTGGATATCTTTGCGATAGGCAAGCTATTAACAAATATAAGACTATGTCAAATCTCTTTTATTTTCTAATCACTCAATTGCGCTTGTATGTATTTTAAATAATATATAATCCTCTATTTAATTAGAAATTCCGAACGTTAACGTGTTTTGTTGGTTGGGTTTCCCTCTCCCACAGGTTTACAGCGATCATTATCGATAATTCATGAGATAATACTTGCATGAAACAATTTTAATAGGCAGATTAAATTTTGATTCATTTTTTCTAAGTCATCAATTCTACAAATATCTGGCATTGTTTTTGTTATAGTTTTAATTGGTACGATATAATATCTAAAACTAAATGTATAAGTCAATATTAATAATCATATATATATATATATATATATATATATATATATATATATATATATATATATATAGATACACCTAGTGAGCCAGACAAACCTACCTAGGTTTCACCTAAACGGATCGTCAGGAATCTTTTTTGATTTTAGCTATCACCTATAAATATGTGTGTCTCTTTGCCTCGTTAGCCAAACTTTCCCTGACGATCCGTTTAGGGGAAACCTAGGTAGGTTTGTCTGGCTCAAGGTGTATCTAGAATCTGCTCTACGGTTGTATTGAGCTCTTTTTGTTAGTTAGTTGTTACTCGTATCAGGGTTTTTTTTCTTTTTGGGCTTCAGACCTGCATCTGTGCGATTTTTTTGTCGGCAGAAGTTCATGTTTGTAGCTCTTTTTTTTTTTAAAACCTTTTTTCCTCGAGATTGATTTGATTAGCAAATCAAAAATTCGAGGGTTTTTCGAAACGAGTCTAGTTATCTATCTATCTATCTATCTATATATATATATTTAAAATTTGTGTATTTAGGTAGCAACCCTTCTTTCATGCACATTTCGTTGAATACGACAGACAAGGTGCTTTTATTAATTTTTTTATAGAATTTCTTATGTGATCTAATATTTTTCTTTTCGGGTGAAAAATTATATAGAAACTCTCCGAATGTTCGTTTTATCCGAGAGCTTTCGGCTATGCATTTAGCCATTTTCAAGGATGAATTATTTTAACTGTTAAATAAGAAATAGTTTGTATTTTTTATAAAATGTTTTCATTTTTCAAAACACCGTTAAGGTATTGTGAACATTTTCAAAGTTATTATTATTAAGTGTTGCTTTTTTTATTAATAAGGCTTCATTTTTTTAGCCTTTGTTTTGCATGTAAATGATACTATTATATTAGTGCTGTCAACAATTATGTTGCGAATAGTGTCCGGTAGCTCTCCATGAATATTTAAATGGGATCTAATTGAGCTATGGTCACAAAGGTGTAGAGGGAGTGTGCGTGTCAAACATGTTGTAGTGTGGCCTATATAATTATTTACGAATTTTTATTGATCCGGAATACAATTACTTAATGTGCATTTAAATTCAAATTCGTAAATAATATTTGCCCTATTTAATTTTGTTCTAGGAGGTGAATTATTATTTCAATTATAAGGTTAGTGGTTTAAAATTTTTTTGTAATATATAATTAATATATATATATATATATATATATATATATATATATATATATATTTCGTTGCGACTTCTTGGCCTCACCTTTTCAACTGGCTTGAACTGGAACAGCTACATTGAATCAATAGTTGCATCTACCGCAAGGAAAGTTGGTTTCTTGTGTCGTGCTAGAAGTTTTTTTTCTCGTCAGAGTCCATCTTGCAAATTTACAAATCTACCATTCGGCCGTGCATTGAATATTGTTGCCATATCTGCTCTGGCGACATTGCTATTCCTCTCGAGATTACTTGAAAAAATCCAAAGAGGGATCTGCTATATAACAGATCCTGCTTTGACGTCTCCACATCAATCGCTAGCTTCCAGGGGTCATGTGGCTTCCCAAATATTTTCTTATAAACTGCCCGCAAGAGATTTTTCCTTGGTGCCCTCACTACATGCATTTAAGCGTGCTACTGGACTGGTATCTGGGGTCGACACTTTTACAGTTGAAACAGTTAAATGTAATCGCGACGTCTACAGGAAAAGTCGCTTCTCTTGCACGTCCCGCCAGTGGTAATCACTTGCGTAAAATTTTATCAAAAAATGAAATGCAACGTCAATCGCCATAGCAAGTCGTTTTTCTCACTTTCACTCCTTATAACCATCTGTATATTAGTGGCATTCCCGCCTTGCGTGGGGTGAATTGGTTAAAAAAACAAAACAAACAAACAAAAAAAAAAACAACCCAAAAACAACCAGACTAAGATGCTAGCGTTACTGAGTGTGAGGGTATAAGAAAACAAATCTCTTAACGAGAGAGAACAACGAAAGAACAGAAATTAACAATACAGAAGATACCGATATATATATATATATATATATATATATATATATATATATATATATATATATATATATATATATGTGTAGGATGCCTCAACCGTTATTGTAGTAGATATTACCTTTTTTGGAAATAGACTCCATATATTTGTTTATTAAATAGCGTTTATTATTTCTATCAACCTCCCCATTCAAGAAATCTTAGTAAAGAAAATATACACATCGGAATGGATCGAACCTTTCTAGTGATCTACCGTTTGATCCGTCATGATTTAACGCTCAGCCACGAAGAACCCCCACAAGCAATGGTCTATTTCGCCTGTCAATAGAAACGCAGATTCGGTCGCTGCCTTCGAATACATTTTCTTTTGCTAGGATTTTTTGCTGGTCGATCATCCTTATACACGCTGTTTAATACACAAAATTGAGCAAATATTTCAAATACGAAGCATATATATATATATATATATATATATATATATATATATATATATATATGCGGAATTAGAGTTTATGTTTATTTATGGGATAAAGTGCTCAATATCCGAGATAGACCATATGCAAATATAACGTTACGTAGATTGCGTCTAGCATGAAACAGTCTGCCACTTCTGATTATTGAATTCAATATTTAGTTTCATAATTGTACATATATATATATATATATATATATATATATATATATATATATATATATATATATATATATATATATATTAGTTAAATAAATTTTGTTTAATTATTTCAGTAGTTTTTACCATATTGAAATATCTATATAACTAGCTTTTACCCACATCTCTGTCTGTCTGTCGCTCTTTCTATATATATATATATATATATATATATATATATATATATATATATATATATAATATTTTACATTAATTGCTGCACTCCGTGTTCCATGCCGAAGCAATTGTCAAGTGCTAGAACTACAGTTCAATATTTGAGATCACACCTGGTAATTTTTTTTAAAGTGAACACAAAAATAGATGCTTTGTACTTTAAAAAAAAGAAAAATATTATATATCGTTAAACAAATGAGACATGTTTTTCTTTTTATTAGAAAACTTACAATGACAAAAAGAAGAAAATCATTTTATGATTAAATTTTGCTCTCGTGAAAATATCCACCCTTAGCCTTGATTACTGCACCGGAAATCATTGGAATTTGGTTGCAACTTTATCTCAAAGTATAAGTTTAATGATAGATTCCTTTTTTAAATGAATCTAACAGCTCTTTTTCATTTGTATCATGTCTCTGTCAAGTTTTTTCATAATAATTCTGGGGGTGGTTTCAGACATTTGAACTGTATATATATATATATATATATATATATATATATATATATATATATATATATATATATATATATATATATATATATATTTTGTGTGTGTGTGTGTGTAGTAGAATTAATGTTTAAACACGTACATTATGTGTAGAACAAGTAAAAAAGAAAAAAAGTTTGATTCGAAGGAATAAACTGCTGGTCAATATTTCGTTCTTGTTTTTTTCTCTCTGCTTTTACGAAAGTTGTGTCTTGTATTTGCATGTTAGTATCCAATAAATTGGAGGGAAATTTATTGCAATGAAAACTATTTTTTTCTTTCTTAAAATATAACATCTTTGGCATTTACAAGCAATGACGTTCTTGTAAATATGAACATTCTAAATTGATATTTAGAAACGATTGGCTATTGTCAGGCAAATCGAGGGGGCATTTCAAAATCAAAACATGAAGCAAATATAATTTCAAGTGGTAAAATGTTTTCAAACAATGAAATCTGCTTTTCGTAATATTGTATTTTGTTTGCTTCCGGTTTAAATTGAAATTTTCACTTCCCTGAACGCAATAATGTGCCATAAAAGCTGAGCTGAACAAATGCTGTATATTCTTTCTTTCTTTCTTTCTTTCTTTTTTTCTTTCTTTCTTTCTTTCTTTTTTTCTTTCTCAAAGTCTTTAATGTTCTTCTGTTTTATATCCTTCGTATTTTTTTTATTTTCTTTCTTTTTATCGTTTTCTAGCTCGCGTAATTTTCCATCTTTTAATATTGTCTTACACACACACACACACACACACACACACACACACACACACACACACACACACATATATATATATATATATATACACACACGCGCGCACACACGCACACACACACACACATATATATATATATATATTGATTCTTTCTTACATCCATATATTATATTTTTCCATTCATATATTTTCGTTTTGCCTTATATTTTCTTTCCAAATTTCTTCCATTTAGTAACTTTGTTATTTTCTTTCATGTTTTCTTTCATGCATTTTCTGTCTCTCTTTAGTACATTTTTATTTCTTTCATATATTTTCTTTCTTCTTTTCACGTTTTATATTTCTGAAACATACTCCCTTTATTTCATATATTTTTCATTATTTCTTTTTTATATTTTCTTTTTTTCTTTCTTTCATTTATTTTCTTTCTTTCATTTATTTTCTTTGCATTTTTTCTTTTATACGTTTTCTTCCATTTTTCTTTGCCTGTTTTTTTTTTTCCTGATTATTTCCTTTCTTCCTCTCTTCGTTCTTTCCTTCGTATATTTTCTTTCCTTGCTTCATACATTCTCCTTCTTTCATAAATTCTCCTTCTTTCATATATCCTCTTTCTTTCATACATTCTCCTTCTTTCATACATTCTCCTTCTTTCATACTTTCTCCTTCTTTCATACATTCTCTTTCTTTCATACATGTCTTCTTTTTTTCGTTCTTATGCTTTATTTTTTTATTCGTCTATGATTTTCGTTTTTTTTCTCTCTTTTATATCATTCGCTTTCTTTTTCCTTTTTTCTCTTCATTTGTCTCAATTTTAAGTTTCTTAATAGCAATGATAACGAAAATGTTGTTAATAATCAAACTATGCCATGTTGTCTCATTTCTCTCAATTCTTTTATTATCATGTCACATATCCCCACTTTTCGTCCTTCTTTTACTGTTTCTTTCTTGTTTTATTTCTTTTCAATTTCTCCTTTAAGATAATTCTTCCACTGGCTCCAATTGCTTTCTCCGTTCTATCCAATTTTCAGTTCTCGTTCTTTCTTCATTATTCTTTCTAACATTACAGTATCCTCACTTCACCTTTTAATTTATATTGTTTTAGTTACCAAACCCTTGAAGCCTCCGGCAAAACGAATCTGAATCTGCTGTCAAAGAGCGGGAAATAATTACCTTCTTTCATGCAAGCAGATATCTCTGTGTATAAAAAACGAATTATCTGAATAAATTACTAATTAACTAGATGACCGGATAGTGATAAGATAATTACGGTAAACGCCCCAGCCGCTGGTCATCGTTAGCTGATGAAGATATAAATCTGAAGAAGAGGAGCAAATAACACAAGACACAAACCAGATATTTCAAAGATATACACCTTTTTAAAAAAAAAAATTAAGATGAAATCTGTGTCCACTCACTAATTTGTATACAATAAAATGTCTATCTACATTTATACAATATATACGATAATCAGATCATAATTAGTACAAAGTGTGTTTTTATTTTTATCGATGAAGATGGAAATATTATAGCTGGTAGAAATGCGTATTATTTATAATAGATCCCTTATATATTTTCTTAAGGTTAGAGAATTTTAATCTGGGATTGGCGATGAAAATCAGTGGAAGATAGAATTGAAGAAATAATAATAATAATAATAATAATAATAATAATAATAATAATAATAATAATAATAATAACAACAAAATATTGTTCTCACAATTACAGCCCACACTTTACAAAAGGTTTTATTTATGTAAAATATTTGTTTTTTGTCAGTGGGAAGTGTCATAGTGCCATTTCTAACCTTAGTTCTCTGAGCGGGACCCGGAAAGAAATGTGTACACACCAGAAATTAAAATAATAATAATAATAACAACAACAAAACATAGTTCTCACAAGTACAGCCCACACTTTATAAAGGGCTTCATCTATGTAAAATATATTTTTTTGTCAGTGGAAAATGTCATGATGCCATTTCTAACCTTAGGTCTCTGAGCGGGACCCGGAAAGAAATGTGTACACGCCAGAAATCAAAGGAAATATAAATAATAATAATAATAATAATAATAATAATAATAATAATAAACAGAGATGACAAAAAACAAACTACGATATAAATGGGAAAATGTAAAAGAAATGTCTTTTGAGAAAAGGCCAACAATTCCAAATGTAAGAAAAAACCGCCAAATGGATGATACCATCAGCCACACTAAACAAGCAATTAGAAAAGAAATAAGGAACGAAGTAGAAAGACCTATAAACCTGACTGAAATTAATCACATCTTATATACGCTGCCTCGGCAACGGTCGTAGAATAAAAAATAGGTGAGAGAGTAAAAACAAAACGTAATGGAAAATTATAACTTCTTAGTGAAGTAGACAATGAATCTTAAATGAAAGAAAGAAAAAAGAGACAACTGCAAAACAAGATCTTCAAAGAAAATTCCAAGAAAGTATATCCAGAAATAGGAAGAATAAAATATAGATAAATGACCCACCTAATATCCAGGAAGTTGCGGATTTCTAGTGTAAGATATGGGGAAACTGCAACATGCACAGTGAAAGAACTGCATGGATCACGCGACAACACAGACATATAGAATGCCAAAAATGGACCCATACAAATATAACTGAAACAACTGCTGCAATCTGCAAAAGAAAAAAAACTGGAAAGCATCAGTTATAGATCAAATAGCCAATTTTTGGATAAAAACCTTATCTAGCACCAATCAAGACCTCGCACCGGCATTCAATGGTATAATATATACCCAGAAAAATACTCTAAATGACTCACGTAGAAAGTAACATTTGTACCTCACAAAAAGGAAGAGACGCTGAACCTGAAGTTCTACAGGCCCATTGCTTGTCTACCAACAATGTACAAGATTCTCACTTCTATCATAACTGAGAAGACTTACAACTTGCCTGAGGAAAAACAATTTACTCCCAGCAGAAGAGAAGGGATTAAAAGAGGAATTTACGAGTGCAAGGACCAACTAATATATCAATAAAACAATATTGGAAAAAGTGAAAACAAGGCAAAGAATCTTATCGAGAACATAAAACGGCTACAGAAAGACGTTCGATAGCGTATCACATTCATTGATAGAAAAGAGCCTAAAAATATACAGTCTGCCCCACAACGGAAAAATTCATAATGGAGAGTATAAAGAATTGGAAGACCACATGAAACGTAAAGAATACAAACCCGTTATTAACATCGAAACCAAAAGAAAAAAAAACATCAAGGAAATTCATTGTCACCACTTCGCTTCTAAATCACCTATTCGGTACTAGTGATCTTAAAAAATATGCTGGGAATGTCAACCAGAAAAAAACAAAAACAAAACTATTTACCATTGTCAAAAACTTCATTGAAGACACGAGGATGCAGTTCGGAATCGACAAATGTGCAAAAGACAATATCAAAGTCCGTAAAATAATGAAAACTACAGGTTTAGACTTTCATATCAACAAGAAGATAAAGAAACTAGACCAAAATGGTACAGACAAATACTTAGGAAATATTTAAGGAGACGAGATACAACGTTCAATTATGAAGAAAAAGATCCGAAAAGCATATTATAGGAGAGAGCGTTTGATGTTAGAAAGGGAACATAAGGGGGTGGGTGAACAAAATGAAGGAAATCAACACCTGAGTTATACCCGTAGTAACTTAGAGCTTCAACATTATTAGATATATGTATCAATAAAACAATACTAGAAGATGTGAAATCAAGGAAACGAGAATTATCGATAGCATGGATCAACTACAGAAATTCGTTCGACAGTGCACCACGCTCATGGATAGAAAGGAGTCTACAAATATACAGAGTATGCTCTAGAACTGCCAAAATCATAATAGAGAGAATGAAAAACTGGAAGACTACACTGAATCTAAACCATACAAACGGGTCATTAACATCGAGACCAATCAACATCAATAGCAGGATCTTCCAAGGAGATTCATTGTCACCATTACTCTTCTGCCTTGAATATTAGCGCCACTCAGCTGTTTATAGACAGAGAGAATAGAAAGTATGTGTACAAGCCACAGAATAGCTAACTGAATGACCTATTCAATATTGATGATATTAAAACGTTTGCAAAGGATGACAACCAGCAGAAAATCCTACTTCAACAAAGACATAAGGATGGAGTTTGGAATCGGGAAATGTGCCAAAGTAACCTTCAAAGGCGGTAAACTACCGAAAACTACAGGTTTAAACCTTATTATTTACAAAATATTTAAGGAACTAAACCAAAATGGTACATGCAAATATTAGGAATTAATGAAGGAGAAGGAATACAAAATTAAACGGGAAATGAAGGAAATCAGATGTGAGTTATCGATACTAGATGAGATTTCAAGAAATTCAAATATTTCAACATCGAAAGGCAAGAAGATCAGGTGGCAATATAAAATTAAAGTAATAAATGTAATTCTACGAATGAAGAAAATATTTAAACAAAAACGGCAATTACAGTAACAGAGTACAAGACGATACGAAAAGCGTTGTAGGTTCTATTGCTAAAATAAGATATTCTAAACGGATCTCGACAAGTTTTCCAGGGAAATTGGGAAAAGTTGTTATAGATTTCAAAAAGCCACTATCTATTGAAGAAGTGGATCAAACGAGAACAAACAAACAATGAAAGAATAAACTGTGCAAGGATGGAAAAATATAACAGAGAAAAATGTTCGGCAAGCTATAACAAAAACCCCACAATTGAAATCCCCAAGAAAATCGCCCCAAATGAAAATTCCATGCAAATGAAAAGTTCCCTAACTTTTAGTTCTATCATCTGTTATCAATCCATAAAATTCAAACATTATCAATATTAATTTATAACACCAATGAAATTCTAGAATAGATCACTGAAGGTATTACATATCTAAAAGTAAAATATGATCCAGAAAAGTAAAGGCCAATAACATGTCTGTCTACCATGTATGAATTGATAACGTCTGTCATCACGAAATGTATTGACTATTTTCTCGATAAAAACAACATTCTTCCTATGGAAGAGAAAGGATGTCGAAGTGATTTATATAATGCAATGATCAAATACTAATAAGTAAAATGGTCCCGGAAAATTGTAGAAAAAAGGTAGAAAACTCAGATGAGCTTAGATAGATTACCGTAAATGTACAAAGCCTCCGCGATTATAATAAATTTCCTTAAATAGAGCATGTAACAAAAAAAAAAACACATTATGCCTAAATAAAACCAAAGGGACTGCCACTTATAATTGCTTAAATTTCTGACGAGGAAACTTCCAAGGACACCTCCTGAAACCACAACTATTCTGTCTTTTTTAATCCCTCTTTTGCATGAAATATACAGTAATAATTATGGGAAAGACTCCGGAAGACTTATTGAAGGGATTGTTGGTAGCTCATGCCTAAAAGAAATACAAAAAAAAATGCACTCAAAATTAGAGCTCGTAGATTACGAAAAGCTTTAACTATGTAAAAATGAAGACAATATTATGTTGTTTTGTTTTATGAACAATGAATAATGTCATTAAATTTCTGTCCATAGGTCTCTGTCCCGCACACGGAAACGGATAACAAAAAAATAATAATAATAATAATAATAATAATAATAATAATAATAATAAGAAGAAGAAGAAGAAGAAGAAGAAGAAGATGAATGAGAGAATTCTATATTAGATGAAATCCCGAGAATTATAAATGTCTCAACGCGCAAGTGCAAGAAGATCAAGCGGAAACATAA